TTGTGCTAAGTCAGTGTGTTCTCGCGGTTAAACCATGGCGGTACAAGTTAGGGCGCGTTGTGGAGTGGCCAGAAGTAAATCTGGTGTGAATGTGAGATCTTACAACCCCGAAGGAGATGCTGTGATTGAGCAAGGAATGTTTATGTCTCGGAAATCTTTAAAAGGTAGATCTGCAAGATCAATAGAAGCTCATCTGCTGTCTCAAAGCAAGAAGACTATAGCTAGAGCCGTCGAACTAGATGCTCAGAAACAACACAGAAATGCCGCCATAGACACTGCTCATAATTTTAGAGAACATTTGAAGGTGATACACAAGAAGATGGATAATAGACTGGAGAGAAGTTTCACCGAACCGTTGCTTGCTTTAAGTCAGGATCTGAAGAACTTCCAGAGCAGATCTGTGAGGCATTGCATAGATAAAAGGTGCTTATAGTGAATTTGTTGTGCTTGGTATTTTGTAAAATGGTTGCAATGAAGTGTCATCTCAAAATGTTGAGTGATCAGCGAATCTGTGTGCAAGTGAAACGCCTCTTAAGCTCAATAACTGCTATTTAGAATTTATAGAGGTTGAAGTATAATGTGGAGGAATAAGTCGGACAAAAAGCTGTCTTTGCCGGCTTAGAATTTTGCGAAAAATCAGCGTGTTCGCAAAGTTAAACTGTGGAAGTTCAACATGAGATGCGATGTCGTGGACCAAAAGTAAATCTGGAATGAATCTGGCATCCAACATACTAAGGAGTGTTTGTTTCACGAACATTTTCGGGAGCCAGATTAGCGAGGTCTGTAGAGAGACCCTCAGGAAGCCTTCAGGAAGAATGTGATAGTGCTCATAATCTTAGAGAGCATTTGAAGACTATCACAAGGAAATGGACAAGAGACTGGCAAGGGCTGTTGAGTTTGAGGATTTCAAAAACTTTCAGAGCAAATCGGTGTGCCATTGCATCCATAAAAGTTGGTTAGAAAAACTGCATTCTAGTTAATTTTATTATGATCGATGTTTCGTCAAATCATCTGATGATGCCTATCCAATAACAATTTTGAATGTTCAATGTTCTAAAAAGTAGTTGGCAATGAAATGAAGAAGTATAAAAGACATGTTTCGTATTTTTCCTCAGTTGAATTTCAAACTATGTTTAAAAGTTGGAATATTGTTCAAAATAATTCGCTCTTGGGTGACAATGTTGAGTAACTTTCTCCACTGAGACCTCGGTAAATCCAAGTGAGACTCATTTTACAAGAAAGCAGAAACAGCTTTAGAATTTGATGCGTTGAAACCTTTGAAATCCCGACTTTAGATAACATATAAAGATATTTAACAGAATAATAGACAACCAAAAACTCTCCTCACTAGAAGTTAAAAGACTTCCAGTGTAAATCTGCCGGCAACTACATTGATAAGAGGTCTGAATTACAGCAGATCAGTGTTACATACATCTTGATGCTAGATGGTGCATTTTAGATAAGCTCCCTTCCTGATAGTTTTTTCATGGATTCCAAATGTTGGTCACTCGGTCGGTCTATGGACATCTTCGCCACACATAATGTCAGTAGCCACTGCATCGACTGTTGAACATTTTAATATCGATTTGCTATTCTTTATATTGTAGCACTACAAACGATCCATAAGCTACGAGCCCCTTCCCACTTCAGTTGGTCCACTTGAAGATTTGTGCCAAAATGTGCCTTTATAAACTAAATATGACGAATCTATTTACTTCTAAAACAATTTATTTTCTCAAAAACATTTTAGATACACTCTAGTCGTAAAAAATACATATTTGAAATCACTTAGACCTATAACTAATAGAACATCTGAACAAATAAACAATGTGCGAATAAATGCGCGAAGTTAACAAAGCAACAATTGAAAGATTACCATTGGGTGACATCACCTTTATTTTTTATTACGGCTGAAATTCTTTGGGGCATAGTGTTAACCAAGTTTTGGCAAAAATTTGATGTAAAACAATCTCATATTTCTTGAAGCTTTCGTCTCAGTTCGGTGATTGTACGAGCAGGATGTTGTCGTAGAACCTTTTTCATCTCGTGCCACAAAGTTTCAATAGGTGACAGATCTGGACTGCTAGAAACCCATTTCAAAAGTGGTACATTATTTTCTTCCATCCATTTTATAGCCTTTTTTGAGGTATGGCACGCTGCACCATCTTCCTGAAACACAAAATCTTGGCCGGATGTCAAACATTCTTCCATCACTGGTAAAAGCGATTCTTCTAAAATTGGCAAATATTTGGTTGTATCCACATTTCCATCAATAACATGAAGTTTTCCTACTGCTTTTGATGACATACTACCCCAGGCCATAATGGATGCTAGAATTTTCAATTTTCTCTTCAGACAGTCAACATGGAATGCTTAATTTTTTTTGCGAATAACTCTACTGCGACTGTCACCAACACTAACTTCGAATCGGGCCTCATCACTCCATTGTATTGCACACCATTGTTGAGGTGTCCATTGTCTATATTCTTTAGCCCATCTAAGCCGATTTTTCTTTTGCAGTGGAGTTAATAGTGGCTTTTCTTTGGCCTATAAACAAGTTGTGCAACTTTAAGGTTTTTACTTCACTTTTTTTATAAGAAAACTTACCTTGCAAGTGCTAAATCCCAGTTTGTGGGCCTCTCTATGAGTTGTGGACCTCGAAATTCTCCTTCCAACAGCGTCACTCCACAGAGCACTTAATTGTAAATAATTGGCACGCCTGTTTTTCACGATTATTCTTCTTAATGCTCTTCGGTCGGCATTTGTGATATTACTTTTTTTCACATATCGTGGCTTAATATTAACTGAACCAGTTACGTTATATCTTCCACCAATATTTCTCACACTCTACCGCAATAAGTCTAACAAAGTTGCAATTTCTGAGTTTGATTTCCCAGAATTAAATAATTTAATTATCAGTAACCGAATTTTCTCACTAATAACCTTTCCTCTACCCATTTTGAAAACCTTAACTACCCAAAACTATTTTAAACGTATTCTGATAGCTGTGATTAATAAAAACAATTGTCATGGCTTTTATTTTTCACAACCACCTATGCGTTATAGACTTATTTTGCATTGAAATGAAAATAGGTTGATATGCTGTAATTGCAACGTGTGCTATTTTTATGCTGCAAATTTGATTAGGGAGTGATAAAGTTGGTGTTTTCTACTATATATTATCAAAATATTCATTGTTAATATTTTAAACCTATAACACGCTGCTACATTTTTATTATTTGTGTTTGATAAGAAAAAAACTAAGATTTCAGTAGTTGGGCCAACTGAAGTCGGAAGGGGCTCGTAGACAAAAAATTGACAAATATTTTAGTTGTGGTTCTTAGTTAACAAATCATTGTTGGAACTCGATTTCGTTGCCATCGTTTTTCCAAACGCATCAAAGGGCAAATTATTTTACGCAACAAACTGCATATAGAATGTTATAAATACCAACAGCCGGTTTGCGATATCAGCCGTGTTGGTGAACGTATGCCAAGTGTATTTATATCCGGTAAAATCGAACCGCAGCCATTTTTAATTGATCCCAAAGGCATTTCGATTTCACGCATGCGAAGCATCGAGAAGCTGCATGCCCATCATTCACGTAACGTCGTACGTCAGTTGAAAAAGACCGGGGCTTGAGGCAGGTCGGGGATAAACTCAACAGTTGAGCAGGTTGATTTTTAGTAGTCGAATTTTACGTGTGTCCTGTACTAGCATATGTCCCTGAACATTTTTCTTTTACGGGATTTTATTTTAGATAAAACTAACGATTATAGAAAAATGCCATGTTTGTCTATATTGACAGAATTTGTTGGAGTGACGTTTTATAGATAATATTCTCCAAACACTCAACGACTGAGACTTTTATTAACCTTTTAATACAATTACGACTCAATATCAAGAATGACATGAGAAATGCTTGGCTTCAGGTGATTACTCGTTTCAGATTGTTGGAATAGACTGAATCCTCGAGAAGTCCCTATAAAAAATGTTAAGCGGGTTAGATTGCTTTCCTGATTATCCCCGCCACTAAATCAAGTTGATCGAAATAATAAAAAATATGAATCCCCAAGTGATTTAATACCTACTGCGATGCCACAACAGCGCAAAAAGAAATTTTATTTCACTTCTTTAATGCACAATGTCAGTGCGGTTATTCCTCAGGGTTTGGTTGTGCCCCCAACATTGTTTCTGTACTTATTAACGAACTCCTTTCATGAACGATAGATACGATTTGTGATAAAATAACTTATTATGAACCGGGTTAATTTGGTGCAATTTAGTACTCCTCAAACACACTGTAATCACACCGCTGCTGGAAGGTTGCAAGGCTATCTGTTTAGAACTAGAAAATACCTGTCATTACCTTTAAAGACACTCCAGATGTGTTCATATACTTTGGGGTACTGCTGCTCCGATCATAGTTTCCTCTTCTACCGATATGTCAACGGATTTTGCTTCTTCGAGCTTATGCTTATCGTTTTAACTTTGTCGAACTTTTTCTGTCGAGTGCATTTCTTCCAATGCTGTCTATATTGTGGAAATTTTTTTTCAATCACAGTTTAATTTTATTTCCATTGATAAATAGAGGTTAACTTCCAAGCAGCGATTTTGTCAGATTTGTCATAGAATGGGTAAATTAACTTCAACCAGAGGCCCATCAAAGGTGTAGTTAAAGTGGGTAACATGAGATACAAATTCCGAACATTATGAATTACTGAGAACGCGATAGTTCAGACATAAATGCAGTGTTGCCGCATCAACAATCATGCGTTAGTTAACCAGAACGAATTCACGGACATCTGCCTGTTAACTTCCGTCCCAACCTGAGAGCTAAAGCTGGGCCTTAGGTAGTTAAAAAATTGAACCAACAGGATCTCCCCTTTAACCTAAAAAGCCCAGACAACTGTCTTGTTGTCAGTTTAAACTCCAAAGTAGACCATTACATTTGCAACTCCCAGGACCTCATCTAACTAAAACGTGTTTTCTCCTTCCAGCAAAGCCACGAGCATTGAGATCGAGCAGCTGAACGCACGCGTCGTTGAAGCTGAAACCAGACTGAAGACCGAAGTCCAACGCATCAAGAAGAAGCTCCAGATCCAGATCACCGAGTTGGAAATGTCCCTGGACACTGCCAACAAGCAGAACATTGACCTGCAGAAGACCATCAAGAAGCAGTCATTGACCCTGACTGAAATCCAGGCCCACTATGACGAGATCCAGAGGCAGCTCCAGGTTACGCTTGACCAACTTAGCGTGTCCCAGAGGAGGGTACAGGCACTCACCGCTGAAGCTGAGGAGATCAGGAGCAATTATGAATCTGTAAGTTGTCTTTTGTATCATACAGGGTGTTTCTAAAATATTGGGCCGAAATTCCAAGCGGAATCCTTTGGGCTATTATAGGTGTAAGGTACACTGCCTAAAAAAATTAAGGGAGCAAGAAAATAATCCAAATTTTTCGGTGATTTTCGTCAAATTGTATTTTGGTGAAGCATGGTTGTATCTAAACTTAAAAAAGCATTTAAAAGTTTTGAGTTTCTGGTTTTCAGGTTTCTTGGCAAGAAAAATTTTTGGCTAAACTTTTGATCGCTCAGAGAATGTAAGGGTATTTCCGAAAAACTGGAATAAACCTCCTATAAGATTTGATTTCAATCATTAAGGCTTTTGGTTTTGTTTCTTTAGTGTTGATTTTAAAAAAGGCGGTATGTTTAATACTTATTTGACCACCAAAAGAAAAGAACCTAGCTCCATTCAGCTGAATATAAATGTAGCGTTTTCTAAACATTTTATGACAGTTTGGCAACACAGGCTCAGCATATATGCATATATGAGCGTATCGCCCTTATTGCTCTGATCGCCTCCAAGGTTCTTGAAGTTCCTAGGTGACACTCAAAGCGGTAACAAGAGGGAATCAAATCTTTTTCATTACGAATAACTGTTATTTTCTGTTTTTTTTGTCTCATATTAAAATATTACTTGTATGTTTTAGGCTCTGCGTGGTAAGAGGCAAGCCGAACAGATGTACGAGGAAGCCAGCACTCGCGTTAACGAATTGACCACCATCAACGTCAACCTGTCATCCTCCAAGGCCAAGATCGAACAGGAACTGCAAGTTGTCGTCGCCGACTATGATGAAATCACCAAGGAACTGCGCATCAGCGACGAGCGTTACCAACGCGTACAGGTACGACTTTACTATACAATGTTGCCAGAGTTAATCAAAATTCACCAGATTCGGAGATTTTTAATCTTGTCTGGAAATTATTAATTTGATATTTGTGAACGTAAAGTGAATAGCGAGGCTATCAGGAACTCAAAAAAATACGAACGTTACGCGTACAGGTATGGCTTTCCTATACAATTTTATTAGAGCTAGTGAAAATTCACCAGATTCGGAGATTTCTAATCTTGCCTGGAAATTTCAATTTTATATTTGAAAACATGAAGTGAAAAACGAGTCAACAACTTCAAAAGATACGAACGTCACCAATGCATACAGGCACTACTTTCTGAAACAATGTTGCCAGATTTAATGAAAATTCACTAGATTTGGAGGTTTTTAATCTTTTCTGGCAATTTTGATTTGGTATTTTTTGACATAAAATGAAAAGCGAGGATATTAGGAAATCAGAAAGTATCGTTCAAGTATCCTCCCAATCTTCAAGGAAAGAATGGCATATAAATACCGAAAATGTTGTGTTACTTTTTGGCGATATAGTATTTGAAGAAATTATTACGCTCTCCATGTTGAAAACGGAACAAATCTGGACGTATAGTATTTTCATATGAACTTTTTTTCTCAGGATCATCCCAGGTATAACTCTGAAGTTTGGCCAGGTATTTTATTAACGCATTTTAAAAATAAAAATAAAATACTCGAGGCTAGATAAGGGCCTTAGGAGGTTTGTGCTGCACTGATTAACGAGACGTGCCAGATCAAACTCTCGGTGCCAGCCGAATTGAGCGGCTCTTTTTCAGAATTTGGCCATCCGTCGAAACCAAATGAGCGCTCAGACGCTTCTTGTTCATCGCTGTGCTTTGGAAGCATTCAACTGTACCAGATTGTTGGGTCCCCAAGCAGTGATAAACTCCAGATGTTTCGGCAGACAAGAGGTCGCTGCTCACTGACAGAGATCGACTTGGCACTCTAAATCCCTGCATGTAAAGTGCTGTCATCTAAGAAGCTATGCATCGGATCAATCGTATTGATCAACCTTCGGTCTTAAGACGTTGCGAGAGGGTTCCAGTAGTAGCTTCACGCTTAAAAAGTACTGATAATGGAACCTTCACTGTCTCATCTACATGGTCTCTTTGTATGTAATATTAGTAGAAGTAATGGTAGGGAGGTCAAGTCTGGCAACTAGGTCGCATTGGAATCTTTTCGCCGACCCTGTTGTAACAAAATTGTAGTGCTTAATCCGTTTCGCTTATCTACTGGTAACTGATTGTTGAATTAACCAGCCAGAGCTGTTTGATGCGATGTACCCATTTGATCTAGCACCGATCTACAGATTGATCCATAAGGGCTTCCCCTTCTGGTTCCTAAAACTTTTTAAATTTTTCCTCAAGGGTAGAAAATTTCGGATCAAAATTAATAACGTTCTGTCGACAACACCGCCCATCAAAACCGGTGTCCCTCAGGGTTCGGTTCTTGGACCAGTCCTTTATTCACTTTTTATTCATGACGTCCCTTGCCCCAGCAACTGTGAAATCTATCTCTGTGCTGATGACACTGCCCTGGTGGCCCAGTCGTGCTCTGGGGATCTAGTTCATGACAGACTGCAAAGTGCAGTGGACGAGGTATTGGAATGGCCGAATCGGTGGCAATCTATTGTACTAAAAAACGTAGCGGTTCTCCGTCTGAGGTTTCAGGGAATGGAGCTTAGGTACCATGGGAAAGCTCTGCTAAGTATCTCGGTGTCACTCTTGACAAGGGAATGGCCTGGCAGAAGCAGACTGAAGCGTTAGAAACTAAATTCCAAATCTCGTTTCGGCAACTCTACCCTATGCTTTGTAGAACATCAAAATTAAGTTTGATCAACAAAGTTCGGCTATACAAGATGGTTATTAGACCAACGATCACTTACGCAAGTGCGGCTTGGTATTTTCTCGCCAAAACGCATTTGCGTAGCCTGTAGGTTTTGCAGAACAGAACCTTGCGTACAATCACTAACGCCCCATGGTATGTCTCCAACGAGACCCTCCACAGAGACCTTGACATCCCTTGCCTAAGGGACTACATCAAACAACAATCGCAGCTATGTTATAATCTAGCGGAATCGCATAACAACACTTTGTTGCGCGAGTCAGTAGACTACACAGTCGAGCAAGTTCGCAAGCACACAAGGCCGCGACTCGCACTGTGAACAAAATTAAATCGTGCGACTTTAGGTCCAACCAAAATTATAATTTTTCTTCAACAACCAATCCGAAAATTAATTTTAGGATCAATTTAAAATTGCCGAATACTAATTAGCAATGCCAAGGCACCCCTCAAATTGACGCACTTCTTTTTTCTTTGCTCTTCCTCCTTTCTTCCTTCCTTTCTTCTTCCCTTCTTTCTCTCTGACCTTGTTTGGTATCTGGCCATCCAGACCTGACAGACCTACTGACTTACAAGACTTCAACCAAGAGCAAAGGTCCTACGGACCGCTCTGACAGACAATGACGATCTAGCACCGATCTGATGCGTACGCTTGTTTGTATACCATATCACTAATTACTCTCACCAAATTCCAGGCCGAGCTGAAGCACACCGTAGAGATCCTCCACGAAGAACAGGAGCGCGTGGTGAAGATCGAGGCCATCAAGAAGAGCTTGGAGATCGAGGTCAAGAACCTGAGCGTACGATTGGAGGAAGTCGAGGCTAATGCCATCGTTGGAGGCAAGCGCATCATCAGCAAGTTGGAGGCCCGCATCCGGGACTTTGAGGCCGAGTTGGACGAGGAGAAGAGGAGACATGCTGAGACCATCAAGATCCTGCGCAAGAAGGAACGCACCGTCAAGGAGGTGATGATCCAATGCGAGGAAGACCAGAAGAACATCGCGCTGCTGCAGGAGTCGCTGGATAAGGCCAACCAGAAGATCTGTCTGTACAAGAGGCAACTCCAGGAAGTGGTGAGTAAACAAATTTATATTTTCTCCACGTTCTTTAATAACTAGCAGTGGGGTGTAGTTCGCGAACGAACTAGTTCAGTCGAACGATTCTTATGATTGAATTAAGTGAACTAGTTCGTTATTCATTGAAGAACTCGTTTACTCGTTCACTACGAACGACTGGTATAACAGGATCCCGACGATCCAGTCGAACTAGTTATGAGATAGGAGCAGGGAGATGGAACACAACCGTAAGCAGAAGAAAAATTTAAAAGTTAGCCATATTTTATAATGAAAGATCACCGATTGCAGCTCATGAAGAAATTAGAACAATACTAAAATCAAAATGTAAATTAACTAAAAGTTTCCATTTTTTAACTTTATCGGCGTCTAGTCTATTTCTGCTAATAAAAGCAGTCTTGCCCAACCTTTGGAAAAAGCCACTCGCATGGCATAAATGGCAGAAACAAATGTTTTTTAACCATCTCAACTAATTTGGGGCAGATTTTGCTCGTTCCTGAAAATATTGATCTCGATAAACTGCGCCAAGACGTTTTATCTCAAGGTCAGAATCGTCCAAAAGGTCTGATATCATTTTCTTCTTCAGCTCATTTTCCACTTGGCTTTTGTCTGTGATACTAAAAAAACCGTTATTGAGAAAGGAGGAGATTTACATATCCAGAGCTGGCTAATAATAATAAACTAAGTGACATATAAATCCGAACACCCAGTTTAAATGGTTTTATTTTAATAAAATTTTGTATAAGTACTTAATGAAGCATAATAAGTAAATGATAAAAATTTCAAAATGATTGCACTGCTTCAAAGCCCTTTGACCTTTAATAATGTGTGGATGCACCCTGATGTGCTAAGCATTCTCCAACGCGCCTAGGCATGCTTCTGATCAGGTGGTCAATGTCCTCCTGTGGTATCTCATTCCAGGCAACCACCAACTCCTCTCGAAGTGCTTCTAGAGTCTGAGGAGGACGTTGCAAATTGAGCAATCTCCTACCCATCATATCCCACACGTGCTCAATTGGGGATAAGTCGGGAGATCTTGGTGGCCATGGTAACAATGTGACATCATTATGTTGAAAGAAGTCTATTGTGACTCTTGCAACATGTGGTCGGGCATTATCTTGTTGGAAAGTTGGATCTGCCAGGGTGTCAAGATAGGGTAAAAGATGGGGTTCTAGAACTTCGTGGATATAACGCTGCGCGTTCATGTTACCTCTGATGAAGATTAAAGGTGACCTGGAACCATAAGCTATAGCACCCCAAACCATAACTCCAACAGTGTGATGAACATGTCTTTCAACAAAAAACTGTGGATTCCTCCTTTCACCACGTCGCCTTCTAACCCTGGCACGACCATCGTGCATGCCTAAACAAAATCGAGACTCGTCACTAAAGACAATACTGTTCCATTCCTGATCTCAGAGTGACCGTTGTCTGCACCACTCAAGGCGATTACGTCGGTGTTCTCGAGTTAAAGGGAGGACCCAGTGTAGTCGGTATGAAAACAAGCCAAAACTTCTCATTCGTCGGTAAACACTTCGCATGCCAATAGGTCTTCCGTGTTCTGCAAACCATTTATTTGCAATGGACCTGGTAGTGGAGAAACGGTCCCTTAAGGCCAATAATCTTAGGCGGCGATCTTCACGGTCTGTTGTTCTACGGCGGCGTCCAGTGCCCCTTGCTCTTTGCGTACGGCCTTCTAGAAGCCATGCCTGACAACACCTAACCACAGTGTCTACACCTCTTTGCACTCTAACTGCAATTGCCCGAAAAGAAAGTCCAACTTCCCGAAGTCCCACTATACGGCCCCTATCAAAGTCACTAAGTTGACGAAATCGTACAGGTCTCCGTACTCTAGGCATCGTAACCGATCGTAAAGGATGTCAAGAAGCAAAATCCGCCAACGTTGATTCTTTACTGCGGCTGAAATATTCATCTTTAGAGCGTTAGTGAATTAAAAAAAAACAGTATAAAAACCGGAATGCCCAACTGATAAGGCTGATAATTTTTTCACTTGTTATTTACAGTAAGATAAATACATTCACCAACTTTTATTAAAATAAAACCATTTAAACTGGGTGTGAGGATTTATATGTCACTTAGTATAATTTATCCACATCAATCACACATTGTGAACAAATGAATATGCCACAAAATGAAAATATCCTTGTATGTGGATATCATGCTAGCACAACATAAATAATATAACATAGCAGTTATAATAAACTGATAGATCTAAATATACAGGGTGTCCGCAAAGTTGGGGTTATCCTTTTCAGAAACAACTACCCTTGAAATAACAAAGGTAATGTGTAGTGAAACGAGGGCGACCAAGTAAAAAAAAATAAAGGAAAAAGTACTCACTCTCCAGTTGACGAGAAGGGCTAAGTACGTCTCTGCTCGAAATCATACCGCTCCAACAGAAAATGAAATCAGCTGATGCGCTACCGAGCAGACGCAGGCGGTGGTGCAGACCACGAACAGAGGTAACAAATATGACGGCGTTGCCGCATTTTCAGTTTTTAGGTAAACGTACTTTATAGGTATTGTTCGAAGTTATCGCCGTTTGATTCAAAAACACAGGTGCGTGCACGACGTGGCCAAGCATCGGTGCAGGCTTTGAGAATGGAGTCCCTCCCCCGAATGAAAGCACCAGCTTGTTCAATTCTGAGACGAAGTTCGTCAACCGTATGCACTTCAGTTTTGTACACTAAGCGTTTCATTTCTTCCCAAAGAAAAAATCACATGGTGTTAAGTCTGGAAATCGCGGAGGCCACGCTACTGGTCCATTACGTCCGATCCACCTATTCGGAAATAATTCATTCAAAAACTCACGCACTTCGCGTCTAAAATGGGGCGGTGCACTATCGTGCAGAAACCACATTGATTGTCTTACACTTAATGGCACATCTTCTAACAAGGAAGGCAAAATGTTGAGTAAAAAGTCTAGGTATTGCATCCCGTCCAATCGATTTGGGAGAATAGATGGTCCAATGAGCATACCGTTCACCATGCCAGCCCAAACATTCACCGAAAATGTTTGTTGAAAATGTGCCCGACGGACAGCGTGCGGATTTTCTACTGACCAAACATGAGTGTTGCGAAAGTTATTCACCCCATTACGCGTGAACGTAGATTCATCTGTCACCAGTATGCACTTCAAAAAGTCCGGATTATTGTCATGTTGATGCAACAACCACTCACAAAACCGCATTCTTGCTGGAAAATCGTCAGGTTGAAGGACTTGTACACATTGGACGTGAAACAGATACAGCCCCTCTTCACGCAGCGTTTGCCACACTTTAGTTTTTGATACTTGCACTTCTCTAGCCACGTCTCTAGTGCTTGTTGAGGGATTCTCGTCTACGCGATTCAGTAGTTCTTCCTCAACTTGCACCATTCGTGGTTGTCTAGGCCTCCCACTGTGCCCACCTCGAAATTCCTCCAAATGGCCCGTATCCCTGACTCTCTGGACCAGGTACACAAATCTGCGGGGCCTTGGGTGATGGCGTCTAGGGAAACGATCTGCATACACTCGCGAAGCCTCTGTAGCATTTTGAAGACATTCGCCATAAATTAACAACATATCAACGAGTTCATTATTGGTGTATGAGTGTGCCATTATTATTTTTTTTGTGAAACGCAATCGATTATACGGGTTCGTTTACCTCTACACGCGTGACCGTAACAGTCGGTTGAAGGTTGCATACTGACCTGACACACTGACCCCGACCCAGTTCTGTCGTCGGGTTGAGCCAGTGACCTTGTACCACTCGGTGATGTCGCGGGTCGCGGCTACAGGACGGTATTCAGATATTTTTGATGTTGCAGAGCCCTTTATCTCGGTTCCCTGAAGACATTGGTGTATATGGTACTAAGAAAAATTGCTTTTGTTTTCAAGATCTACACGTCGTGTAAAGGAAAACCCCAACTTTGCGGACACCTTATATATATATATATATATATATATATATAGTATTCATAGTTAGTTGCCTTAACTGTTAGGAGAAAATATTCTTTGAATTTCTTTGGGTAGAAGGCAAAGTATTGCAAAAGTACACTCTTATAAATTAAACTCGAGCTTTCGAAGATCTATGTCGTCATCGGAACACATGTGTTCCCCTCCGCTCCCCTCACTGTTGTTTAAAAACAATTTCAGCAACAATCTTGCCGACTTAGTAAGTAACTATTTTTCTTCCTAATTGTTAATTGTTGCTATTGTCAATAATTGTTTCCAGCTCCAGACGATGAAGACATAGATCTTCGAAAGCTCGAGTTTAAGTTATAAGAGTGTACTTTTGCAATACTTTGGCTTCTACCCAAAGAAATTCAAGGATATATATATATATATATATATATAATATAAGTGTAATATGTACATTGATTTTGGAACGTAGACTAACAATGAAGAAAAGATATGTGTTAGTTTTTTTATAAATTACATAATGTTTATATCAGTTTTCAAAAGCCACTCGTATACATCTATTTTTAATACTGGTATTCGGCTTTTTTTAATATACTTTGGTAAGTTATGATATAATTTTGGACCTAAGTATATAGAAGATTTGAACATTATTTCGTTTTTTTCTGTTGCAATAATTATTTGTTTGTTTTTATTTCTAGTATCATATTCATAATTTTTATAAATGGTCGAATGTTTGTTTTTATATATAAATATACTAAGTGACATTTAAATCCGAACACCCAGTTTAAATGGTTTTACTTTAATAAAATTTTGTATATCTAAGTACTTAATGAAGCATAATAAGTAAATGATAAAAATTTCAAAATGATTGCACTGCTTTAAAGCCCTTTGACCTTTAATAATGTGTGGATGCACCCTGATGTGCTACGCATTCTCTAACGCGCCTAGGCATGCTTCTGATCAGGTGGTCAATGTCCTCCTGTGGTATCTCATTCCAGGCAACCACCAACTCCTCTCGAAGTGCTTCTATTCTCAATTGGGGATAAGTCGGGAGATCTTGGTGGCCATGGTAACAATGTGACATCATTATGTTGAAAGAAGTCTATTGTGACTCTTGCAACATGTGGTCGGGCATTATCTTGTTGGAAAGTTGGATCTGCCAGGGTGTCAAGATAGGGTAAAAGATGGGGTTCTAGAACTTCGTGGATATAACGCTGCGCGTTCATGTTAGCTTTGATGAAGATTAAAGGTGACCTGGAACCATAAGCTATAGCACCCCAAACCATAACTCCAACAGTGTGATGAACATGTCTTTCAACAAAAAACTGTGGATTCCTCCTTTCACCACGTCGCCTTCTAACCCTGGCACGACCATCGTGCATGCCTAAACAAAATCGAGACTCGTCACTAAAGACGATACTGTTCCATTACTGATCCCAGAGTGACCGTTGTCTGCACCACTCAAGGCGATTACGTCGGTGTTCTCGAGTTAAAGGGAGAACCCAGTGTGGCCGGTATGAAAACAAGCCAAAACTTCTCATTCGTCGGTAAACACTTCGCATGCCAATAGGTCTTCCGTGTTCTGCAAACCATTCATTTGCAATGGACCTGGTAGTGGAGAAACGGTCCCTTAAGGCCAATAATCTTAGGCGGCGATCTTCACGGTCTGTTGTTCTACGGCGGCGTCCAGTGCCCCTTGCTCTTTGCGTACGGCCTTCTCGAAGCCATGCCTGACAACACCTAACCACAGTGTCTGCACTTCTTTGCACTCTAACTGCAATTGCCCTAAAAGAAGGTCCAGCTTCCCGAAGTCCCACTATACGGCCCCTATCAAACTCACTAAGTTGACGAAATCGTACAGGTCTCCGTACTCTAGGCATCGTAACCGATCGTAAAGGATGTTAAGAACCAAAATCCGCCAACGTTGATTCTTTACTGCGGCTGAAATATTCAATTTTAGAGCGTTAGTGAATTTAAAAAAAGCAGTATAAAAACCGGAATGTCCAACTGATAAGGCTGAAAATTTTTTCACTTGTTATTTACAGTAAGATAAATACATTCACCAACTTTTATTAAAATAAAACCATTTAAACTGGGTGTTCGGATTTATATGTCACTTAGTATAAATCATTTAGGTTTGTATCATTTATTGAAAACATTTTGAACTGGTGGAATCAAAAACCAAAAGTTTGCATTATTTGAGATTGTTAAAAAACGTGTATATCTTATAGCCTACATCTACTATGTACGCGATAGTTTACGTGGAGTATTTAAATTTGAAAAATCTATCTTAACAAAACAAAAATGGGATACAAAAAAATACAACAATGTTCTAGAGCGGTTATCGATTCAAATACTAACCGCGCCCGACGCTGCTCAACTCCAGCGATCTCATTAAAGATTAAGAGGCGACGTTGTCACTGACATTATTGTCGTGTTTAATAGTTCGTTCGCAAACTAGTTCCCAGAACCAGTTCGTTTTAGTGAGCGCGACCTATTTAACTAGTTCATCGAAATGAATTAGACAGCATATTACTAACAACTACCCAGAATCACACTTTTAACCCCTTCGTTCACTATATCCAGAAGTCAAAACCAGGCTTTTTACTCTGAATTGGATTATTCTGTTAATTTAAATTTTATAATAATTTTATTTTGAGGTCATTAGTCATGATTGACTAACCCTACAGATATTTCACATCTGAGGCCGATAAATATACTACCAGCATTTTCCAAGTTATTAGAACTGGCCATGAAACATCAGGTATCTGACTACGTCTTCTCTAATGGTATCATTCCTGAAATCCAATCGGGTTTCAAGTAAACCACAGCGCAACAACAGTTCTAGCATCACGGATGACTTAATCAGATGTGTAGATCAAGGAAATTTAGCATGCTTAGTGTTACTTGATTATACAAAGGCTTTTGATGCTCTATTCTTGTGAAAAAGCTTATATACTTTGGTTTTTCGGAATCTGAAATTAATTTTGTATTAAGTTATTTCACTGACAGGAGTCAGATAGTATCTCGGAGCAGATACCTGTTAAACTAGGGGTACCACAGGGTTCCATTCTGGGACCATTATTGTTCTCAATTTACATTTCTGACTTCCACGAGTACGTTGAACACTGCAGTATTCATCACTATGCTGACGACACTCAATTGTCCTTTGGCTTTGATATTAAAGATTTAAAAAATGCCGAACATTTCATTAATAATGATTTAATAAATTTATCTAACGTATCTTGTGCCCATAATCTCAAAATTAACCCTTTTAAAATCATCCGCAGTTATATTTGGACCAAAAATCAAAAAAAGTCAGGCAAAACCATTACTATCATTGACCATTTTAGATCAACCGATCCCTATAAAAAATGAGTGTAAGAATTTAGGACTCTGGATTGATTCTGATTTGAGGTGTGAAAAACACCTTAGTCAACTGTGCCAAAATCATTCGGTGTCTTGAAGCAATTATTTCCTCATAGGAAAAGTATGAATACTGGTCTCAAGCTGAAGTTGTGCGAAACCTTAATATGGTCTAGAATTCACTACTGTGACTGTATTTATGGGCCTGCACTAAGATCGATTGAGATAAGGAGACTTCACGATTCAAAATGCGTGTCTCAGATTTGCTTGTGGAGTGAGAAAACTTGAGACAGTGTCACATAAATATCGTGAGCTGGGTGAGAGCTACAAGAAATGCACGTATTGACCTTGACCCATAAGGTAATCACAACATAAGCCCCTCCATATCTATCAACCAAATTTATCACATACTCAGATGTTAATCAACTGAACACAAAGAATAAGCATATCTTGGTTATCCCGAGACATTCAACATCTCTATTTAAAAGGTCGTACGTATACAGGGTGACTTTGAAGTTGAGTCATTAATTTTCAGATAATGATTGTAGAAGGAAGATAAACCAAAATATGTGTGAAAAAATAAAAAAAAAATAAAAAAAAAATTACCTTGTTTTATAAAGTATCCTCCCGACAAGTATTTCAGTGCAGACCTGTATTTGATCGTGAGGTCTTGGAGCACCGGCATGCCGTCCATATGTGAGGTCTTAAGTCAAATGATTCACGAACCCGTTGTACTACATTAACAAAGGCACGAGGGGTTGGTTGCACTCGATTGGGAAACCAATCCGCATAAACATGTGCCATTTTTTATTTCGTTTGAGCCACGCAACAGACACCAATATCCACTACCGACTGACACTGACTGTATACAACTGAATGAAATAATTGTAAAAACATCGTTCCAAATTCTTTCGCTTTTTTGTTTCCGATGCGATGAACCGATAAGGCGAATTATATCCGTTGTCGCCAAACACGAGCACATAATATTATTATTGAGACAGGGCGGTACTCAAACTTCCAAAGGGCTATAACTTTGTTACTTTAATTTTACCAGAAAAAAAACATTTCTTTTGATCAGATCTACTCACTGTTAAAATAAATGACTCAACTTCGAAGTCACCCTGTATACTGCTATCAAGCTATACAACGCGTTACCTACCGAGATCACTATTGATACGAGAGCGTTTCAAATTAATCAGACTTCTGGAAATTGGTGAAAATTATGCCAAGCTTATAAAAGCGTGTTAAAAAGAGGAGACACCAATATGATTTTGTGCTTTGTTTGGCCATTGAGTTAGAAACTTGCTTGTTATTATGATGCTGATTTGACCCATTTACTTATTAGCGTTTTTTACACATTTTTTAATTATATTGAATCGTTGCCATTCTCCAGGTCAATAATTTCTCTCCATATTGGATATTATTTTCATATGCTCCCTAAAAAAAAATTTTTTTTAGAATCCATTAGGCCTGTAACGCGGAACCATTTGCTACAAAGAATGCGCCATCTCCTTTAATCAGAGATTGAAGTTGACAAAAAGGGTGCTTGAAATAACATAGAATAAATTGATTTGAAGATGTCACAACTCTTTTCAGAGGCAGCTTATTTGACATCGTACTTTTTTCAGGAGGGAGTATCAACCCAGAGCGTATCCAGAGTTCGCCGTTTCCAGAGGGAACTGGAAGCTGCAGAGGACCGCGCCGAAACCGCCGAAAGTAACTTGTCACTCATTCGCGCCAAGCACCGCACCTTCGTCACCACTAGCTCGGTACCCGGATCCCAGGTCTATCTGGTCCAGGAAACCCGTACTGCTGAGATCTAAGCCAACCATAGCCATTTAAGTAGACTGCCACTTGGCAACGTCGCATCTATGGCTTCACTGCGTTCTTATTGGATAAATTGACCTGTCAAACGTCGAACATGGCAGGCAAGTAGGCGCTTAGTATGACGTCATGGCTGCAATGAGTAGCGTGATGAGCCACTGATGTAACTGAGCCAAAATGTGCAAGGATGGGAACTCATCGCTGCGCCATTTTTGCTTGATTGTACCCTACGATGCTTTGTGTGTGCTATCTTAACCATCTACGACAAGGATTCATCAAATAAACTACAAATTCAACATCAAACTAAATATCGTGGAGTACCGGAACTGTCTACACCATATTATTCCCATCCTTGCTACAGTTGTGTTGTCTGGTACTTGATTTTAGATAATAAATATATATCATGTCATTTTTTTATTTTTATTTTTTTTTTTCTCGTGCACATAATAAAATTGAACTATACTCTCTTTGAAATGTTGTATTTATTATACATGTCATAACGAAACGTACATTTTTCGAGTTCTTTGTCATATTCTCATTTCATCAAAGCGATTTATATGTTCGAGATCGCCGTACTACGCTACAAACGAAATCTGTAAGTTTCTGGATGTCTTCTTTGTTCTTTCAAGATATGCAGGAGTATTGACAATGTTATGTAAGTTTTGAATGTATAATGTAAGAATAAAATGCTTATAAATATATGTCTATCATTTTACTTCCCACGCCTACTGGCAAGAAAGTATTTTAATCACAAAACATTCCGAAAATTAAATGTTTTTTGGATGTTATACAAACCTACTATACCAAAGACGAAACAGCAAAAGTGATAAAACGACGATTCAGAGGGTCCTGATCATTTTTGAAATAAATTTTATAGGCAAAAAATTAGAGTGGAGAGTTGTCTTGGAGCGGGGGAAGATGTATGGCAATTTTTTGGTATTACACATCTATTAAACTTATCCGGGAGCCGACGGATAGTGAGTCGTGTACGTCATCTTAAACCCGCCTCTACAAATGAATATACTCGAAAGTCCCAGAAGTAAATAACGGGAGGTTATTAGTAAGGTGGATTCCTCTTTATTTTTCGAGGAAAATTCGATCATAGAAACCACAAAATATATTCACTAAAAGAAAGACTACTCAATGCATTTTGACTGGCAACACCTCACCCCCATATTGCATTGGATATACGTCACGTCAATTGTCAGTCATATCGTCGCTCCAGAATTATAGTAAGACAACTTCAAATATACAGGGTGTTTCAGTTTATTGTTACATAACTTTAAGATTCGATAGAACTTTTAAAATTAATGCATAAAGTCTATAAAAACATGGGTCGAAAAATACGTGGCTTCTGAAATACAGGGTGTTTAAATTTACTTTTTAAAATAGTTTTTTTTAAATATTTCGAACAATATTTGATGTATAACAGTGAAAATTGGTATACAAGGGGTTTTTGGTACGACAAAACGAACCATGGGCATAGTTTTACTGTAGCCGCATGAGGGCGCTCCCTACTGTACCTTTAGAATATTAAAATGACCGAAAATTTTTTCTTATTGGAATTTTTTGCTTTTTGAATAAAAAAACTGATTCTTCGCACTTTTCTGCCTAAAAAAGCTCTCCTGTGAGTTTTCGTTATAGTTGGCCGTTTTTGAAATATTATTTAAACACAGCAATAATTCCTAACTCAAAATAAACACAAAAAACAGAATATTAATTTGTTTAATTTTCCAATATTATTTTTAACAAATTAAATTAATTATTTACAACTAAAATGCTATTGGATCTACGAATGATCGAACGTGGTATAGCATTATTCAAATAAGGCCTTATTTCATCACATGCATTCCTGATTTTGTCTATTAGCATATCTCTTGTGGTTACGGGAGTCTGGTACACTTTTCCTTTTAGAAATCCCCACACAAAGAAATCTAATGGATTTAGGTCAGGGGATCGTGGAGGCCAGGAGACTGGCCGATCCATCTTTCTGGATAATTTTCGTCCAGCCAGTTTCTAACTATTCTCGAATAATGAGCTGGACAACCATCAAGCTGGAACCAGGCCAATCTTCTTAAATCTAACATAACATCATCCCACATATTTGCATGTTCAGCCTTTAAAAATTCCAAGAAGGTCGCAGCATTTAACCTTGCAGGCAAAAGGTAGGGTCCAAATAGTCGACTTCGGTAGATACCAATCCACACGTTCAAACTAAATTCATGCTGAAAATTTCTTTCCCGAACTGCATGCGGATTTTCATGCGACCAAATATGTTGATTATGAAAATTTACCACTCCACGTCTAGTGAAGCATGACTCATCGGTCCATAAAACGTTACTTAAAAACTCCCTATTATTATCAGTTCTATCAAGAATCCACTGACAAAATGTGATTCTTCGTTCTCCATCCCCTGGCTGTAGTCGTTGCACAGGATGCAAATGGTAAGGACGTCTATGGTCATTTCTAAGAACACGGTGAAGATGGCTTACTGTAATTCCCAAAGCACCAGAAACTCTCCTAACACTTGTGGTCGGATCTCTATCAAACTCACGCAGAATCATACGGGTAAATCTGCGCTGACGAACATTTATGTTTTGATCCCTTTGGAGATTTCCAAAACCATTTTCAATTATTTGGCGATGCACTCTTACAAATACTGAGCGAGTTGGATGTCGTCTGTTTGGAAATCTTCGTGCGTATTCTCTGGCTGCTTCTGCTGCGTTTCCATTTACAAAGCCATACACAAAATGAATATCCGCTAACTCTTGATTGGAGAATAAAAATGGCATTTTTATAAAACTTACAAAAAAAAACAGGTAAAAGAAACTAAATTTCGTGCATTCACAATTTTAAAAAAACGTTTCAGGTTTCAACAGACAACAAAACTAACTGTCAACTAATTGACGTTTAACCTTATTCTGCTTTCAATTTGCAGGCACAGCCTACTTCTAAAAATGATCGAGATACTAACTTTTTAACGTTATTTTATCATAAATAATTAAAAATGCATCGAACCTTAAAAATCGAAATATCTCAAAAACAGCTTACTATAACGAAAATTCACCAGAGAGCTTTTTTATGTTGAAAAGTGGGAAGAATCAGTTTTTTATTCAAAAAGCAAAAAATTGCACTAAGAAAAATTTTTCGGTCATTTTAATTCACTACAGGTACAGTAGAGAGCGCCCTCTAGCGGCTACAGTAAAACTATGCACATGGTTCGTTCTGTCGTACCAAAAAACCCTTGTATACCAATTTTCACTGTTATACATCAAATATTGTTTGAAATATTTAAAAAAAACTATTTTAGAAAGTAAATTTAAACACCCTGTATTTCGGAAGCCACGCATTTTTCGACCCATGTTTATATAGACTTTATGCATTAATTTTAAAAGTTCTATCGAATCTTAAAGTTATGCAACAATAAACTGAAACACCCTGTATATCATATTGAGATAATCGCTTTTTTAATATTCATTAGGCTGTATTTTTTTATTATTAGAATAAACTATATAAGAAGTAGTGCATCTTATAGAATATAGACTATTAGATAACAATGAGTGTGTTACAATGCCATTAATTTTAAGCTATCCGTTATTTTTTCTATAGAATAGTTGTTTAAGTCGTCTCAGTATTATGCTTATCTTATTATGATGTAAACCTAAAATCAGGCGTTAAGTGGAAGAGCGGATATGCCTAACTTCGCCCCTTCCACTATATGTTCATATAAAACTGGTTTTGCAACTTGTTTTATATTTTCTTTTGTGGGAATAAAGACATTATTATTATACTGCAACGCCTTAAAAAAATAAATATCTTTTTTTTTAAAATACGGAAATTATGCTAATATTTTTAATAATATCTTTTTTATTGTAAGATGTCTATAAAAAAATGTGAAATCATTTCATGATGTTACTATTCTACAATAATAATTATTATAAACTTTACCTGTTTGTTTAACCACTGTAAACATTTCAATAAAACAAGAAATTCGTGAAGATAAACTTTATTAACAATAAAACTTTACAAACTCGTTTAGACGTAATTAGGAGTTGTTTTAAGTATACAAAATAAACATCAAAAAGGAACAAAAACTAAATTTAAATTATTTTATTCGTCATTGACCACTTCTTGTCCTTTCTTATAGGCTTTAATATTTCTGTAATAATGTCGATGCTCTTCTGGAATATGTTGTAATAAAGAAAGTAGAATTTCTTTTTTCTTGAACGAAATTTTTTGTTATTCTTTGTAGGCTTCTTTCAACTCTGGGTAAGTATTACTTCTTATTTTTATTTCATTTAATGACTCTTCTTTATAACTATTATTGTAGTATGTTATATCGGTTCTTCTATTGTCAAACAAATAACTTGAATTTGTTCCCAAGCAACTTTTTCACCATTTGTGTTCAGATTAAACTGGTAATAGTAGGAAGTTAACATTTTCCAGTCATTTTAACTATCTTAGTTTAGTTTCATGAAATTATAACACTTGGCAGAAGTTAATATAAAGACATTTAAATATGTCTTACAATTACGCAGACCTTCAGAATAAAATACTGTATTCTTATACAAGGATAGATCGCGTAGCATAGTAAGGAAGAGAAATAAATGAACATATCCTAGTATATGACTAGATAGAGCGTTAAAAGCTGCAGCGGATTCATTAAAAATCCCAAAATTGGAACTTTTAAGTTGTCTTACTATTATTCTGGAGCGACGATATGTAATGTTTGTTTTCCCATTATTTTTCCTAATCGTAAAAATTCAATTTTACGATAGGAAAAAGCATTTTTCCTTCCTTTTTATGTTAAGAAAATGTTGTACTTAAGATAAAATTAACTAATTTACGATTACAATCACCAACGTATAACACTAGATTCGGTAAATAGTGGTAGATAAAACCAGATATATCAAATTAAAACCGTTCATTCTGATAGATAATGTGAGATGTTGTATCTACAATATAACAAGGAACATAAGGAAACCAGTAAAAACTTATATCATCGAAAAAAACAATCAAAACTTTGAGAAATCTGTATGTAAGTCTGATTATAAACACATATCAAACAAAATTAACAATAAATTATTCAATGTAAAAATTAAATATGTGTGTATGTGGCAATGGCTGTATAAACACGTAAAATAATGATAACTTATAGAACTCTCAAAAATAAAATTAAACCTGTGTATGTAAAAGGTATAGGCCAATCCAAAAAATATTTTGACCATACAAATTCTGGTAATCTAAATAAACACAATTTACATCCCGGTAAAAGAGTTGATCAAGTCATACATATAATATATACTATTTATTATTGCTCATTATTTATCAAAAAAACGTGGATTTTATTGATGGACATCAGTATTCAATAATGTATACGGTTACATCGAAATCCAGTGACATTAGCTGATCAACACTTACTGATGGATCACAGCAAACACTGAACGTACATGTAAATGGAACAGTTTTTAATATTCACATGTAACACAATACTCATTCTAAGATATATAAAACAATAATGTTTAACGCACAGACTAAAATGTAACAGTACTATTCAACTATTATCTGATTGAAAAATGTGACTTGTTTAAGAAACATATGTATGTTATCATGCAGAATTAAAGTCAAATTGAGTAAAACACCTGATACAAGTTGTTTTGATTGATGAGGCTGTGGTATCAGTATGTTGCTACTTTTTTGCAAGAGAACGAAATG